TCATTGGCTGATCGCGGCGGAGGGGCGGGGCCGCCCCTGTGGGCGGTGGGGGCGGGGTCGCCGCCTCCATCTTGGCGGAGCGGCGGGTTTGGGGGTCCCGGCCCGGAGCGGGGGGGGCCGGGGCAGGACTGAGGGGTCCCGGTTCGGATCGGGGGGTCCCGGCTCTATTTGTGGGGTCTCAGCCTGGATTCGGGGGGTCCCGGCCCTGTTTGTGGGGTCCCAGCCTGAATTGGGGGGTCCCGGCTCGGATCGGGGGGTCCCGGCTCTGTTTGTGGGGTCCCAACCCTGTTTTTGGGGTCCCAACCTGGTTTGTGGGGTCCCGGCCCGGTTTGTGAGGTCCAAGCCCGGTTTGTGGGGTCCCAGCCTGGATTTGGAGGGTCCCGGCCCGGTTTGTAGGGTCCCGGTTCGGATCGGGGGGTCCCGGTCAGGGTTGTGGGGTCCCAACCTGGTTTGCGGGATCCCAGCCAGGACTGAGGGGTCCCGGCCCGGTTTTTGGGGTCCCGGCCCGGTTTGTGGGGTCCCAGCCTGAATTGGGGGGTCCCGGCTCGGATCAGGGGGCCCCGGCTCTGTTTGTGGGGTCCCGACCCTGTTTTTGGGGTCCCAACCTGGTTTGTGGGGTCCCAGCCTGAATTGAGGGGTCCCGGCCCTGTTTGTGGGGTCCCGGCTCGGATCGGGGGGTCCCGGCCCGGTTTTTGGGGTCCCAACCTGGTTTGTGGGGTCCCAGGCTGGACTGAGGGGTCCCGGCTCTGTTTGTGGGGTCCCGGCCCTGTTTGTGGGGTCCCAGCCAGGATTTGGGGGTCCCCACCAGGATTGGGGTGTCCCCGTCCCTKCGAGGGGCAGCACTTAGGGCAGTGTGGGATTTTTGGGGGGATCCCCGAGGGTGCAGCTCTTGGGGGATTATGGAGGATTTGGGGGGTTCCTGCGGGTTCAGCAGCTGAGGGGATTTTGTAGGATTTTGGGGCTCCCCGAGGGTGCAGCCCTTGAGGGGATTTTGTAGGATTTTGGGTCCCCGAGGGTGCAGCCCTTGAGGGGATTTTGTAGGATTTTGGGGTCCCTGAGAGTGCAGCCCTGGAGAGATTTTGGGATCCCTGCAATTACTGCACCTGAGGAGATTTTGTAGGATTTTGGGAGGGGGTCCCTTTGGGTGCATCCTTGGGGGAATTTTGTAGAATTTTGGGGATCCCCTTGGGGAATTTTGTAGAATTTTGTGGCTCCCCGTGGTTGCAGCTCTTGAGGTAATTTTATAGGATTTTGGGGCTCCTCGAGGGTGCAGCCCTTGAGGGGATTTTGTAGGATTTTGGGGTCTCCAAGAAGCGGCCTCTGGGGTGTTTTGTAGGATTTTGTGGCTCCCCGTGGGTGCAGCTCTTGAGGGGATTTTGTAGGATTTTGGGTCCCTGAGAGTGCAGCCCTTGAGGGAATTTTGTAGGATTTTGGGGCTCYTCGAGGGTGCAGTCCTTGGGGTCTGGTCCATAAAACTCAGATCCCCCTGGGGTGCCGTCTCTCGGGGTTTTGGGGTCCCTGCCGTGGCAGTTTTTGGGGGTCCCCAGGAGGTTTGGGGTGCTTTGGTACCCACAGAGAACGGGGGAGGTGTTGGGGTGTCCCTGGGGTGCCCCATTTTTGGGGTGACCCTGAGTCCCATCGGTTTGGGGGTGACCCCAGGGCCCCTCACGCTTGAGGTGCCCCCTGGTTTGGGGGGAYCCCTCCAACCCCGTTTTTGGGGTGACCCCAAGGACCCCCGTGTTTTGGGGTGACCACAACATCCCCTTTTTCTTTGGGGTGACTCTTCTGTCCCCCTGTGTTTGGGGGTGACCCGGCTCCATTTTTGGGGTGACCCATTGTTGTTTTTGGGGTGAGCCAGCACCCGTTTTTGGGGTGACTCAGCCCCTGTGTTTGGGGTGACCCGGCCCCAATTTTGGGGT